GCATGTGAGGGGCGCGGCGGCGGCCGCCAAGCGAACGCACATCTTCTACTCTGATAGCGACGGGTCGGAGGAGGGCGAGTTCCTCAGCGAGAAGGTCAAGCCGCGGGCGGCACCAGGCCAGATGCGCATGTCGACCAACATTCAGTTCAACTCGACCATGCCGAGCACAGCCTTTGCGGGCCAGCCTCCCCTGCCGCCTGGACCGCCCCCGCCAGGCCCGCCACCGGGCAACCCTGGGTCGTACTCGAGAATGGCAACGAGCTACGGCGCACAGTCGCACGCATTACCACCGAGGCCACCAGCGCCGGGGCAGCCTCCCTCTGGGCCGGGCGCGCAGCGAGGTGGTTACCACAACGTCCCGCCTCCCAAGGGGCCGGCGGCGCAACCGAAGAACAAGGCGAAGGGCAAGAACATACCGCAGAGCAACAAGAAGAGAGCAGCGATGCAGCAGCAGCAGCAGCAGCAGCAGCAGCAGCAGCAGCAGCAGCAGCCTCAGTCACAGGGCTCGTCCCAACAACAGAACGGCTCGAGAGCAAACCAGCGAAGGGGCAACGGTGGTAGTAGGAGACCCAGACGGGGCGGCAAACAGGGCTAGTTGATCCGCGCCCTAACTCGGCTGTTGGCAGGCGGGCGAAGAGGTGTGGCGGTTCGATGGGAGGCCTTTGGCTTGAGACTTTTTCTGGCTCGAGACCTCTGACGATGACACGGCACCAGCGGGTGACTCGTTTTGCTTTGCCAGACTTGCTGGCAAAGAGTCACAAACACAGACGGGGCAAGGATGCCCAACATGACATGTATACTACACAGCATAGCCAGCTTGCTATGCGTTGTTCGATGAGAGGGCATCTCGGAGCGAAGGGGGCCATGGCATGGGAAGGAGGCTGTAGCAGGAGCAGTAGCAGGATGAATGAATCAGAGGCTATATGATTTAGGGTGGGTGTTCAAGGGGGGGTTGAAGGGGGGCAGCCAGCTGTGATGTGGTGATGGGCGACAAGTCACGACTCAAGCTAGGATGGAGGGGGGGCTCGTCAGGAGTGAGTCAAAACAAGGGCCAAAAACAAGGGCCATTGTGTGGCCTTGAGTTGTCGGACTTGGGTTGGCCTTGTCTCAATCGAAGCCCAGCCGTTGACAACGGATCAACGGGGTCTTTATCCACCTTGTGGCTGTGTAGTCAACACAGCGCAACACAAGACGACCAACACGGGCTTGTGGCACGACGACACACGGCTAGAGGAAGAAACGCCGCGCTTGTCTCGACAGAGTCTTGACAAGAGTCTCGACGAGTCCCCACGCGCAGCCACGCGACGCGTTTCTCTCGGACGACCAATCACACATTGGTATGGAAACAATGATCCAATCAGAACACTCGGCGCGCGTGTCTCAACCGTGACAGCGCTAGCCTTTCCAACTCTTTCCAACCGCGAGGATCCAGTCAACGGCCGGCCACTGCGGCAGACCAGGACCCCCAAGACGGACGGACCGTGGCATCCAGGGGTCGAATGCAGGTGGCCAGCGCGCCGGGCCAGTCAGGTCGGCCGGCGCGCCGAAAAGTCGCGGTCGAGGGTGCGTGCCGGTACGCTACTGCACGGCTGGGCTTCTCCCCCCCGCATTGTCCACCGTGAGTCACCAGCCAGTTGTTTCTGCGGGGGGACGCATCTCTCTCGCAACTCGCAACAACATTCGCCGTCCTGCATGCAGCCAGACCGGGTGCTTGTAGGGGGCTGCGCCATGAGCGTGAGGCAAAAACAGAGACGGAGACTATGAAGAGAAGGAAAGTACGGGGATCAGAAAGAAAGTGGGGGGGCTAGGGAAGGCCGGTGACCAGGCTGAGAGGCATGGCTATATCAGGACCCGAGGGGCCTCTGACTGGGCCGCCTTGACGGCCTCGCTTTCACGTTCACGACCGTTTCATTTTCCCCGTCTGTGTCTTGTGTGCCTGTATCTGCTGCTGCTATTTCACTGCTTTGTTGTATGAGCGAGTCTCTCTGTGCCGAGCTCATCCTCTCTCCATCTCCCCCCCCCGAACCCTGTCCAACACCTTGTCTCTACTGTCCTCGCACTTGACCACACCTGGCTTCGGAATAGCCTCACCTCGCCATCATCAGCCAACGACACAATCAACCAGCACGCCAATCAACAACATAACACAAGCAAGAAATACACCACCTCGATCCTCATCAACATTCTGAAAGACATATCTCTTCGCATCGTCGAAAATACTTCCACCAACCCGACAACCTTGCCGAAAACAATGCAAGAGCCGCCATGGACGCCCAACCAACAACCCCGTTTTATCGTCTCTGGCAGACAGACAATCAGCACATCCGCGACCGCATCCTAGGCCTCCTCCCACACGAGGATATTGCCGCCCTGCGCCTCGCCTCCTCTGCATGCTGCAACATCACGACCAAGCGCCTCTTCAAGCGCATCCATGTCACCTTTACCCCCAACACCTTTACCAAGCAGTCCCGCGTCCATGCTCTCGCTCGCATCGGCCACCACGTGGAGCACCTGACGTTCCACTTTGCGCACTCACCCGCCACCTTTCTGCCGCCCCTCATCCATCCTCTGACCGGCGCCGAGATCTCCTTTCTCTACACGCCGCACACCTCCATGGCCTCAGTCCTCGCCCGTCCCAAGTACGCCAACACGGAGCTCGGCGAGATTCTCACCCAGCAGTACCCGCCCCTCTTCCACGCTGCCACCAATGTCCCCTCCTTTATCAATGCCCTCGCTCACGTGCCGAACCTCCGCCACCTCACCCTGCGCACCCCCGGCCAGGACCCCCGCGAGCGCTACCGTCGCGATGCCGTCGACTATGCCCTCATCAGTCTGCGCATCGCCCTCGAGAGAAATCCCCTGACCGCCCTCTCGCAGCTCTCCCTCGCCCACCTCCACCCGGCCGCCCTGCAGTACCTCAGGGCGGCTCCTGCCGCCTCGCTCGGCGCCCTGCCCTCCTCACCGCGCCGCTGGCGCCAGATCCGCAAGCTCTCTCTCGCCGTCGAGAGTTGGGACTTTTCCGACACCTCGACCCCGGGCCGCGATCACCTGCGCATCATGGACGACTACCTCCGCGCCATGGCCCCCTCGCTCGAGAAGCTGTCCTTCACCTGGCTCGGCCTGCGCGGGCCCTGCCCCCTCGCGCTGCCTGCCGATCCCCTCTTCGCGGCCCCCTCCTCGCGCGCCAGCAGGAAGCTCTTCAACGAAGTCACCTCGCCCATGTCCCCGCTGCCGCCCGCCCCGGGCCGACCCCCCATTCACTTCCCCCGCCTGCGCCACATGGGCGTCCGCAACGCGACTATGCACGCACCGCAACTCGCCGACCTCGTCGGCGCCCACAGTGCCACCGTGCGCGAGTTTGACTTTGACAATGTCGTGCTCGCCGACGGCGGGCGCTGGAGCGACGCCCTGGCGCCCCTCCGCGGTTCGTCTTCCTGGTCGGCCGAGGGGCCGACGGGTGACGAAGACCGGTGGTCGAGGTCCTGGTCTGGCTCCGCGTGTGGTTCGACGTCTGGCTCGTCACCTACCGGGAGCCTGCACAGCGTGCCGTCGCGGGATGATCTGCCCTCGACGCCGAGCGCTGCCGCGGCCGCCGCCTCGAGGGAGCTGCTCGCTTTGGACTTTGGCGAGGCTCTTGACGGGCTGGAATTCCTCGGCGAAGTCGACGGCGATGACGAAGAGATCGGCGAGAGAAGACGCAGAGAGGACCTCGAGGCTGATCTCGTCAGCGAGATTGCCGCGGCCAGGGAGGCGAGCGCTGCCTTTACGACGAAGCTCAAGAAGAAGCGCAAGGTGCGTAGGAGAGTGGATGAGGTCGTCGTCGATCAGCTAGACGTCAAGACCAAGCAGAGCAGCCACCGACACTGGAGGCCCTCGGACGCCGAACAAGAGGTCGAGTCGCGCGACAAGCAGCATCACCGCCGTCACGGCAGCCGTCACAGGAAAAAGCGACATGCCGAGGACGACAAGGAGAGCCGCCCCAGCCCCGGCCCCAGCCGCAGCAACAGCGACCGCTCAATCCTCCGCAAGCAGCCGTCCAACATGTCGTCGATGGCGCCCGAGGCGGAGTGCCACCGCCCTGCCGGCCCCGTCCGTACGCTGTCCAACATTAGTGCCCCCATCATGGACACCACCCAGCAGCCGGTCCTCCTGCAGCCCACGACGTACGACCCCAACCGTCGCCACGCCGCCGACGTGGACCCCGACGAGGGCATCTCGTCTGTCCAGCGCAACATTGAGCAAGAGGAAGCCCACCGTGTGCTGGCCGAGGACGCCGCCGCGCGGTCGAGCGCGCTGCAAAAGGCAAAGGAAGCCGTGCTGCTTAAGCTCTCGGCGCAGTTCAGCAGCAGCAGCAGCAGCAGCAGCAAAAAGCAGGTACCCTCCCACGGTCCCGACAGCTGCGCCATGGCGGCGCGTCTCAGGGAGGGCCTGTTCGGCAAGAGCTACGTCAGCGTGCTGCCTGACGCGCGGAGCATGTCGAGCCAGTCGGCACTGGTGCCCCTGATGTTTACGAGGTCATGAATAGTCCAAGTCTGAGTCCGACACCATGTTTTCTGTTGCCCTGTCACAAATGTGTAAACGACCTTCTACATTCTTTGATCGCTTGTACGGCCTGTGGAGCTGGAAAGGGTGGGCGGGAAGGGGGTGTTCCGGAGGGGCTTATTACGATTTTTCTACTTGCTTCTTCTTTTCGATGAATACATAACGTCATGTTCTCTTACGCTTGACTTCTCGTATAGTTTTGTCTCATATGTGTCCAGGTCTGTCTGTCATATAAAGACAACCTGCTTTCGCCTGTTTACCCTGCCGATCAATACGGCGTGGGTGTTGCCGCTATGGCGATACATCAGTCCCGGGAAGGTCATTGCTTGCGTCTCGGCCTCTGTAGAATGTTAGTATGCGCCACTAGCATTTCAAATCAACATGGCGAGTCTTAAATGGTTACAACGATGATGCGGACGGCCATACATGCCAGACATAGGCATCTACAGACATTTCCTTATGGCCCAATCGTAGCTCACAAGTCCACAGGTGCCAAACCTTGCGAGGCTGCCGTGCATCGACTACCCTAGTCTCACACGACGCCTCGTTGCGGCAAACTGAGCAGGGTCAAAGTGGCCCCGGAATGCCTCTGCGGATTCGAACGTGTCCCGGTCGACGAGCCCGCGAGTTCTAGAATTCCGACCCTGAGCGTATCACCTGCAACGATATCCAGCACGAGGGCGAACGTGCTGTGCTCAACAGGAGAGAATGTGACAGCTGTCAGGTCTCGCCCCTTCAGCCTTGACAAGTTCCCGAAACCGGAATCTGGCAACAGTCGTGCAATAATAGTCGTATTTTCATCCGCAGCATTGGGATGATTCGTTACCGGAACGTAGAGAATAGTCACGGGTGATCTGCTGCCCGATGTATGTCGAAGCTCCTGAAGACAAAAAGACCCGGTCTGGAAGGACCAGCACTCAAGGTGTATGTATCGGCTCCACTTCAGGCAAGACTGTTCGAGACCACTCTCGTCGCGGAAGACGCTCAACTCGACGGATTTCCCGTCAGGCCTCTCTACCCAGACTTCAGCATCAAAAAGCTTAGAGACATCCTCTAAGTTAGGAGGGATGATGTGGTAGTACGGATGACCAAACAAACACCGTCCGCCTTGCGATACCCAGGACCAGCTCGGGAATTCCGAGAGCCTGGCGAGCCCAGCCTTCCTGGTTCTCGCCTGTAGCTGCCAGTGCAACCCGGCCAGAAATGCCTGCTTTGACGATGCGCCGCTGAGAGGCTCCGTGCCTGAAGCTACGACGGGTATGCCCCAGTAGGAGGCACAGCCTTTGTTGACTTTCGCCCACCTATTGAGGACGCCCGTGATAGCGGCGAGCCGGTCACTCGAGAAACTGAGCTGGCGTTTGCAATAGTTGGCAATCACGGCCCGTATTCCATGTGGGCTGTTGATGTGGTTCCATTCTGGTCTCTCTCGGTGTTCCAAGCTCCCCTCGTACGCAAGAGGCTGCGTTAGGTGCTCAAAACACATCATATCGTGGCACTCAAAAGAGACCTCATAGTTGGAGAAATACAACCTTCTCCTCGAAAGACAAGTCTCTTGAAATGACCAGCCACGAGTCGCCCACTTCGATTTCGACACCTCGTTTAGCTGCCAGTGGTGGCTGAACTTGCCAACCAGATGTCGCTCGCCTATTCTCTGGTTTATAGGAATGTGTTGAGTTCGGCTTAGTGTCAAACCTGGCAATCCGTAGCCAGGATCCTTGGCTCCAACGGCGACAATGGTGAGCTCTGCGTCGCTGTATATCTGATCCATCCTTTCAACCTGGCTCATCTTGTGGGTCTGGTCATCTTGCCAGATACAGTAGCGGTCGATCCATACGTATCGAAATCAAAGCTTGACTACAGCTCGCATCGTGTCGAGGATCACGGGGGGTAGATCATCTGGTAAATTTGGATAATTGTACTTTTCTGGAGGAGCACTCCCCCACGCGTAACTCAATGCCACGTAAGGGTATTTCCTGTTCGGATCCGGTTTGATGATACGTCTTGCCTCACAATCTATCAGTTTCAGCCGCGGCACAGGTTGTAGGTTTCCTTTCCTGCGACAGTTCTCGTGCTGGTCCTCGCAAAGCTGGATCCATGAACGCACAAAGTCGTAGTCAATCGTTTCCTCCAGCAAGCGCCGTCCCTGCATGGGCAGGTCAAGAGGGCGCCGAAGGTCGACAGACGGATTCGCTACCAGCGATACTAAGGACCCCGGGAAGTCTCGATGGGCGAACCGCACGAACAAAGTTGTGCTGCCAAACGACTTGGCCTTGGCCTCATCGTATTGGACCTGGTCCATTATGAGTAGGAAGACTGATGTCGCGGCATTCATGGCATGTTGCTCCCTCCTGCTTGTGGCTATATCATACAGAAGGTCTGATTGGATAGCTAGCAGGACCTTCTTCGTCTCACGTGGGGTATGGCTATCGGGGTTCAGCGGGCGCCCAGCAGCGAGCAAGTGCCCAATGCCACCCACAATCTCGCAAAAGGGACAGCTGGGGACTATGCCTGGCGGTTAATGTGCGACGATTTCTTCTCGAGTGAGACGTCTCCAGGTTGCGGCATGTTGGATATATCTGTCCCATCTGACGGCCTCGCTCTCGGGCGAGGGAGCTGGCGGCAGGCCACTGAAACGAGTCGGATCGAAAAGACCCTCGATGTTGAGGTTGGCGCAAATGGGGCATAGCCGGTCGTCGAAGAATGACATTGCGTTCGTGAAGCTGGTATTAACTTTTTCTAGACCAGATTTGTTTTCGGGCTCACACAGTTGCAGAGTGAGAAGACGACGAGGAGACATCGTATCGAGGCATTTTGCTTTATGCAGGCAACCATGGCCAAGAATGCGCAGCGCAGTGCATCCTGAAACACCCTTCCTCGGGGTATGCCTTGAGGACCTTCTGCATGTTGCTCACGGTCGTCCGGACCTTCAGTGAGACTCAGCACGGCGGGTCAGTTAGCACTAGTCTTCGCAACCAGTTTCTGTCGATCAATCAGCGTATAGAGAAATCAAAAACACCTCTGAGCTGATACAGCGGCAACGATTGCTATGCATATTCAAAAGAAGACAAGCCGTCTCATCCTCATGAAAAAGCCAAAACAGGACAGATGAGGCCTCTGACCGATCTCGCAGTAGGCCCGTCAAGAACGGCCTCTGGCCACCCTGCCGGATGCTGGCACAAGTCCGCGTGGCAGAAGATACAATCACGCCATGGAGGCTCTGCGTTCGGCAGTAGTGAGGACGGAGGTGGGGGACACGGCCCACCGTCTCGGTGTTGTCCCGGTCAAGAGGGTCACTAGCAGCGGCAGGCAAGGACTGGCAAGTTCCGGCGAAGCTGTCAAGCACCGGCGCCGGTACCTCGCGCCTTTCAGTTGATGGTGCTGGCCCAACCAAGGACAGGATGATCGTGGCGGGGAGGCGGAGACATGGCCGCAAACGGCGATACAGTGTGCCGGAAGACGGGTTGGACTGACACAGACTCTGAAGCCGGGGGTGGTATAGAGTTTTGCGGCAAGTGATGACTGAGATTAGCCGGCCGTGCCACTGCACACTGCACGAGGTACAGAAGATTATGATTGTGATAAGTGATGGTGGTTCGAGGCGTGCGACGATCAGACTGGATGCTGGGCCTGCTGGGTCGCTGGCCCTACTGGGTCGACTGGTACGACGTTGGGTGTTCCAGACACGCTAATGCAGTGAACGCTAGTTGGTCGAGGGAGGAACGGAGTGATGGGATTTGATGGCGATGATGGTATTTGTGAGTACGACGTCGTATTGATGGTGGTGAGGATCGTGATGCTAGCCGTGTCCGAATGCTACTGTTCGAGACGAGGCTCCAAGTACAATGGGACCTCAGGTGGCCCAAGTAGGTATTTAGGTGGTAGGTACCTATAGGTAATGAGATGACAGGTACGGGAAGGCACGACTGAAGAATATCTACCTACCTAGGTAGGTGGAGACTGCCATGCCACAGAGACAAACGCAGCCAGACGGGCAGTCGCGCACGAGGAACACACCTGGAGTGGCAGGGGCGGGGCAGATCCGGGCAGGCAAAACCAAACAACGGCAGCAGGAGCAGCTGACTCATCCGGGGCAATCTCCAGGATGCGAGGCGAAATCACTGGGCGGCGACAAGCCTGTCACTCATGCTGGGTCTGGACCGCCTGGGCGACAGGGGGCTCCCGGCTGTGCTGTCTCGCCTGTCTTGCCCATGTCCACTGTTTTCCTCTTCCAGGCAGGAGCTTGTCCTCGCTGATCGCTGATCTGCTGGATCGCCCCATCTTTGTTCCCCTTCATTCATCCGCATTCACGGTCGAGTGCCCCATTCTGTCATCAACGCCAGTCATCCGTCCATCGTATTCCGCCATTCTCTGGGGAGCGTGTGTTCTGGCCGAGCCCTGGCCTCATAGGTCCCCTCCCCGAACGTTCCGGGAAAGCACTGCTTGCTTCTCATCGCGATCACTTCCAAGCGCTTGTGCCAATACGTACCGTACATGTACAGCCAGCACTGCTGATACGACTGACTACGCATCTTCCTGGCTCGCCCGAGGAAACGAAAGGAGTGAGTGGCCTGTACCTACAT